AATTGTCTAACATGTTGTTTTGGAATCTCAAATCTTACTACAACAGTTTGAGGGTGATTTTGGGTGGATTTTTCTCTCTGGGAACTTATTCAAGGTTTTTAAAGAAGTTTTTAACTATGGGGTTTTTACTGCTAGAAAATACAGATAGTCAAAATGTGAATTCTGTGAGAAAGGCTTTCTAATTTCTTCAAGGAATCAAAGCTCATTAATATTTGAATTCTTGGTTATGTGTGCTACCCAAAAGAAGCAGTACATTGGGCATAGTATTTATGTACCTATGAAACTCCATTAGAGACAAAAACATGGGATATGCTATGATATACACCTGGATTTTTGTCCTAGCTTTGAAATTCACTATCTGTGAGACATTAGTTTCTAAAACTAATTAATATTTATCATGTATTCTTGCCTGAATGAGACAAATATTCTAGTTCCTAATATCTAAGATATCCTAGAAATAGGATGATTACTGGACAAGGAAGGAGATGCTTGATGGTGGTATATAAATATGGCAAAGACATGGGGACTGAGCAATCACAGATCAAATATAGTATTCCAATGCAAAAGCCCTGATTTTCAAGATCCTTCATCCTACACTTCTCAAATATCCCATCCCATTAAATGATCAATTTAGGAGTAAAGCTCAATTTTCTTTTCCTTACCATATCCAATACAACTTATTAGCAATTCTGCCAGCCTTACCTCCAATATATATTCCTGGCACTTTTCACTGTTTCCAGTGTCAAGCTGTTATTATTTCTCTCTCTAATAAAGGAGCCCTGGTGGTATCGTTGATTATGCTAACCGCCAGGTCAGCAGCTTGAACTCACCTCCTCAGAAGAAAGAAAGACGAGGTGTTCTGCTCCTGTAAAGATTTATAGCCTCAGGAATCATGGAAAGTAGTTTCATTCTGTCCTATATGGTCACTATGAGTCGGGGTCAACTCAATGGTAAACCGTTGGAGCAATTAAAATAAAAGCGAAACTTCTGCTTTCAGCCCACAAGGTGCTACATAATCTGATTCCTGGCGACTTCTCTGACCTCACTCACTCTGTACTCCTTACATCTTCATTCACTAGGATCTCAACCTCTACTGTTCAATATGGGAGCTACTAGCTTCATGTGGCTATTAAATGACAAATTCAGTTCTTCAGTTACATAACCACATTTCAAATTTTCAACAGCCACATTTGCACAGGAACAGAAGATTTTATCAGCACACAAAGTTCAAGGGTAGAACACTGGTCTAGACACATGCCAAGTTCATTAATACTTGCTTTTCCCGCTTCTGGTTCTTCTGATGATATATTTTGCGATGGCTGTTCCTTCTCATGAGGAGCCCTGGTGGCATACTGGTTACAAGTTGGGCTGCTAACTGCAAGGTTGGCATTTTGAAATCACTAGCCGCTCCACAGGAGAATGAAGAGGCTTTCTACCCCCATAAAGTTAGTCTCAAAAACCCAGAGGGGCAGTTCTACTCTAACCTATAGGGTTTTTATGAGTTGGCATTAACCCCAGGGCAGTGAATTTGGTTTTTCAGTTTTGGAGCTTCTTCTCATAATTCAGGGCACAGCTCAAATAGATTCTCAGAGGAACCTTATAAATTTAGACTATACCACCAAATCTGAAACAGCCGCCCAATTTCCCCTTGTCCCCAGACACTCTCTATTCCATTATCTGGTTTCATTTTTTCATAGCATCAATCACTATCAGAAAGTGTTTGTTTCTTTCTGTTTCTATCCATTGAATGGCAGAGACTAAGCCTGTGTGTCACAGCATCTTCACTGACCAAAACAATGCTAAACTAAGCACATACTGTGCATTGTCGTCAGTTTGCTCTGACTCATGGTGAGCCTACTACCTATAATAGTACAAAATGTTTTCTGTTCTTGTTCCATCTTTATGATCCTTGGCATACAGGAAGTATAAAAATTATTGAATACAGTGATAAATTAACAATATCCCCTTTTAGGCTGAGCGTTAAAGGAAGGGGCTATATGTATCTTGTTCACCACTGTAATACTACCCTTATTTTTAGCACATTATATATATACCCTTATACCTAGCACATTACTTAGCATAATTGGTGACTACATTACATAATGGGAGGAACATAAAGAGAAGTCCTTAATATTTTACTACATTTTCTTACACGACAGACAGAAATAGGAATTTCCAAATGGCAACTGTTGCTGTTTGGTAAAAGTAGAGGGGCAGCAAAAAGGAGGAAGGCCCTCAACTAGATGGATTGACACAGTAGCTGCAACAATGGGCTCGGGCATAGGTGCAGTTATGAGATTGGTGCAGGACCGGGCAGTGTTCTGTATTGCTGTGTATAGACTTGGAACCTACTCTATGGCACCTAACAACTGTGGCTGCTGTAGGAAGGTCTACCGAGATATTTTATTAGAGGGTCTGGGCATATCAACAAGCCAGAATATAGCACTATGAGATAATAAAACATAAAATAATAATGATGTAGCCAGAACATTAACAGTACCTTAAGGATAGCTACCATTTTAGGAGGCATATACTAAGTGCCATAGGAGCCCTGGTGGTGTAGTGATTACCAGTTGGGCTGCAATCTGCAAGGTTGACAGTTTGAAACCACTAGCAGCTCCATAGGAGAAGGACTGGGCTTTCTACTCCCATCAATAGTTACAGTCTAGGAAACCCATGGGGGATGGGGTGGGTGTTGCTATGAGTCAGCATTGACTAGATGGCAGTGAGTGTGATTTTGGTTTGGTATTAAGTGCCAGCCATATATACATTACCATACTTATTTCTCAGAAAAATTATTTGAGCTAGTATGATATATTGTCATCATCTCTATTCTTAAGAATGAGAAAACCAGGCACAGAGTGTAAGTAATTTACCTAAGAGTATAGTTCAGAAGTGCTAAGGTTGAGATCAGAATCAGATCTGTTTGATTTGACAGCTTAAACCTTACCTTTTCAATTTTATATAGATATAGTAACATGGAACTTGCTTTTTCAATAGATAGCACTGGTGAGTCCTTAATAAGTATAACTGATACTACTCTCTTTTGATTACTGCCTTCTGAACTTTTATTAGCCCCTGGTCCCTTGCCCCCCTTATTTTAGTAGATTAAGAACCTGGATGTGGCTTGTTACTTTATTTCAGTAACAGTCTTAAATTCTTGAGTTTAAACTTAAAAGATCCAGCCACTATACATGAATTCAGACACATCTTCTTCTCTCAATATATACAACTATGAAACTTGCAGATTTCTTAAATAAAATTTGGAGACGCCAAAAAGCAATGGGATTGCTTTTTCTCAGTCTATAATTGCCACTTGACAACTGGGCTAAAGCTCCCTGGCCTCAAACACCTTTTTAAAACAACTGCTGCTGTCAAGGCAGAGTCTTCGGGTGGTATAAATGGTTAATGTGATCAGCTGTTAATTAAAAGGTTCGAGGTTCCAGTTCACCTGGAGGTACCTTGGAAGAAAGACTCAGCAGCCTACTCCTGAAAACAACCAGGCAACTGAAACTCTATGGAGCACAGTTCTGCTCTGACCCGTGGGGTCACCATGAGGCGGAATCAACTTGAAAGCAGCTTGTTCTTATTGGTGATAGTCGAGGAAGACCCTTTCTCTTTTCTACTAGATAAATAACTACTTAAAAATTCTGATCAGGCTTTTAGTTCAGCATGTTGCATTAGGTTTAAACTCTGTGGTAGAGATTCTAATTAATAAAAGTGTTTGATCCACAGCTACCTAGCTGTGGAACCCTTGATCTAATTACGACTCTCTTTGAACCTCCGTTCTCCCTTTCTTTTTCTTTTTGGTTCTCTCTTTCTTAAGACGACAATTAGTAAGATCCCCTTCAGTATTCCCAGTAAAGTTCTTAAATTTGCTTCTCTTATTTCTTTGTGTCTCCTTAACAAGAGACAGAAAATAACTGATATCCAATACCAACCTCCATCAAGGCTCCGGGATGCTCGTTTGCTGGCTGTACGCTCAAAGTGTGGGGCGGGTCTGTCAATCAGAGCACTAGCTTGTCTGGTCTGAGCCTGGGTCCGGCCGCTGTATCGAAATTTGGATCCCAATGCAAGAAATTTACTCTTGGGAATGGTGTCTGTAGATGTCAGTCTGGAAATAAAACACAAACATCATATACATTATGCATTCTCTCATTACCCTAAGGCCATGTGATAATATGAGATTAAAAATGAAATCAAAACAAAAAAGTTCCACAAATCTCAGAATATTCTCGTAGTTACTAAAACAGGTTTCTCATTAAGCAATCAGTATTTTAGTTCTAAATCACTTTCAACAGTTTTAATGGCATATAGTTAACATATCATACAATTCAATAGTTCATTACGTTTAAAAAAAATAAATCAGTATAATTTACTTGGGAGCTTATTTGAATAATATCATTTTCTACCTCTATTACCACTGCCATTGAATCAATAATGACTCATACTAACCCTATAAGACAGAGTAGAACTGCCTCATAGGCTGTAAGTCTTTTTTTTTTAATTTATTCTTATTTATTTTTTAGGCTGTCTGTTGTTGTTTTTTTTAATTAGGCTGTAAGTCTTTATGGAAGCAGATTGCCACATCTTTCTCCTGAGGAGCAGCTGGTGGGTTCAAACCACCGACTTTCTAGTTAGGACTTCACCGCCAGTACCACCAAGGCCCCTGCTGTATCTCTATAGATAGAATCTCAGTATCAAAATGCTTTACAGTTCTTTAACATGTTCCCCCTATCCTTATATAATATTTTCACCATTTTATAGATACAGGAAACTGATTTGGAGAGGAAAAACGCTATTAGTTTAAGGTTACAAGGCTATTGCAAGGTTGGACAGTAACCCTGTAAGCTCCAGAGTTCAGCTGGAAAAATAATTTGGTAAAATGACTCCACTCATGCCTAGAAGCCTATTTAACAGGTTATTTAGTGTGCTGACAACTCAGGCATAAGCCCTGTCTCTCTCTTTCTCTGCATTTCCCAGTGTGTTCTTTTGTCATGACATTTTACTACACAGGATGAAACAGTTTATTTTTATGCTGGTTTCCCTGTAAGACCGTGAGTTCTCTAAGGGTAAAAGTGATCTTTGTGTCTTCATTTCTGGCACAGTGCCTGGCATGAATTTGGCACCTAATAATGTTTGTTGAATAAATAGATAAAATTGCTACCCCAGGTATTACAAAAGGGAGTATTTTCCTTCCTTTGAGACAGACAGGTTCATTTTAATTTAATAAATATTTGCTTTCTTTTATGTGATGGAGTACTACATTTTAATATAGCTACTTGTATTAAACATTCAAAATAACTTTTTCCCTACCATTCCTTGCTTTTTAAAAAACAACTATTTTCTGGTTTGATTTTGAAGAAGAGAATGATGAAAGCATAATGATACATATTAATCAATGAGATGAGATCCTCTAATCAGGTAAAATATATACTCTCATGGTTTATTTTGAATTGACACTTGAAATATTTTCTTTAATCTTTTCTATCTGTCCACTGTTATATGCTAAGTTTAATATAAAATATATAATATAAATATATATTTATATGCTCCATTATATAAATTATATAATACAGTTCAAAAATACAGATGGAAGTAAATTTATCAAGGCATTCAAAGTCAAGTTTCTTTCTGAATAGAATATCAGGTCTTGGATTTGCTTTAAAATAACCTGGGGGCAGAATGTATACAGATGAAACACGATTAGTCTTGGAGTGATAATTTTTGAAGCTGTGTGATAGGTAGAAGGGGAGCTCATTGTTTTATTCTTCTTGTTTTTTATATATTTGCAATTTTCCATAGGTTAAAAAAAAATGTAAAGGCAAGCTTTCCTTTCTCTTTTAAAACTGTTTATTGTGAATTAGGTGAAGGTTTATGGAGCAGATCATCAATTTTACATTCAACAGTTCATATACATTTTGTTTCAACGTATTTAATACAATCTCCTCAATGTATTATCAATTATCCCACTTCCTCCTTGTGAGTCCATTCTGCCTTCTTTCCTAATTCTCTGTACTTTGTCCATTTGTACTCCTATAGTCCATTCTGTCTTCTTTCCTAATTCTCTGTACTTTGTCCTTGGGTAAATGCTATTGAATCTTAACTAGCTGATTATTCTAACATGAAAGAAAGTTCAGTTTCAGATCTGAAGGATAACTGTGTTTGGCTGGGTTGACTAGAGAAACAAATCCAGAGATATGCATATGTATCAGAAAGAATTTTATATCAAGTAGTTGTATATCAAGAAAACATCCCAGCCCAGTGAAACTCAAGTCCCTCTTCAGACTCACACAGCCACATGCAATGATGCAGATCATAGGCCAGTGAGTGCAAAGTTGTGTGAATCTAATGGCAGTGGCTCTGGCAGCAATCAAGGTCAGTCAGCAGGAAGGTGAAGGCATAGAGAGAGGGGAGGCTCCCAGGGACCCTCCTTATGAGAAAGCCACGCCCACAAGGAGTCATCATCAGGTTGTGACCTGATTGACAGGCTAGACTCCACCACAACACTGTTTGTTTATAAAATGTCATTTTATTTTAAGTGACTCTGCTGTTACATAAGGAATAACATTTTCACAAGGCTATTTGGGGACTACAGTCAATGATTAGGAACACACAATAGTGGTCCAATTCTCTAAGTAATAATCACAAGACAAACTGGAGACCCTACCCTCTCCCATGTGCACAAATCTGCATGGAAATGTACTAACATTTTAGATTTGGACTGTCTATTTTATTTCCCTTTGCTAGTGTATTAGGAAATGACATGTACTTTGTATTAGTCTAGGTACAGAAACTCATGTATAAGAGAGAGTTTTATATAAAGGTTAAGTGCTCATCAAGAAAACATCCCAACCCAGTGCTGCCCAAGCCCACAAGTCCAACATTAACCCATTAGCCCATATGTCCAACACCAATCCACGAAGTCCTCCTCCATCTCACAAAACAGACGCAATGATGCCAACTGCAGGAGGAAAGGCGAGTCAGTGAATGTGTAAACATCTCAGCTCTGGCAGGGGTCTCCACACAGGTACTCCAGCACCCAGGGCTGCATTGGGGTAGGTCCATGTGGCTTCTCCTCGGGGATGTCTTGCAGGAAGTGAGCTTTGCCAGCTAAAGCAGGGAACTGGGTAAGGCAGCTGCACCCTGGTCCGACCATCAGAAAGCGAGAGACCCGAGACTAGAGAGGTGAGGCTCACTGAGCCGTTTAGCTCTCTGCCCTGCTAAACCCCAATTAACCCCACATGTGATTACTGGCCAGGTTGGCACAATAAACTAACTACCTCACACTTTAATCGCCAAAAGCAATGCTTGTATTCTGGCAGCAACGTGCTACTTCTATTACATAGTGAAGTGAATACCAGAACTACAAAGGCAGGAGTGTAAGTGAATTTTTATTGGGAAGGGAAATTGTCAACTTCAACAGCAGCAAATGAAGCGTGAACAAGGAAACTCCCTTTTGTCACAGATGTACATGAGCTCCATAATATATTATATAGGAGGCACTTCACTGTACCACTACACTTTTATATGTCTTCAAGTTGACATGAAATGATGTAATTACCACAGTGACTAAGGGTCATAGTCTTGGGGGACCCACCAGTTTATTCCACCAGTAAGCTTGGTCTGTTTTATGATTTGAGGTTTACTCACACATTTCTCTCTCACTCGATCCAGGACCTTCTAACGTGATCCTTTTGGAGCAGTTGGTAGTATTGCTCTCCATTTAACACAAGTAATTATTTGTCTAAGATGTATTTTCTTTTCTAGACTATATATACCAAAAGGACAGGGACTAAGTCATCTTACATATGACATAAGTCAAAAAGTATTGCTTCTAAGGCTCATTGATGTACAGGTTCATTCTAACCAAAACCTGTTTAAACATGCCTCTGCCGCCAGTGAATGCCTGTAGGCACATTCTCTCAGTAATACAATTTTCTTGTTAAGTCTAGTTTGAGTGCCTTTAGATATAAAAAACAAAGCCCAGTCAAAATAGCAGCTTCTGAGGTAAGCTGCTGGACTAGATAAGTTCAAAGCAGAGAGGTCAGCTCAGAAAGTTATGGTGACTGTTTTTTGAGATTCCAAAAGAGTAATCCTGATAGATTTTCTTGAAGGACATAGGATAATGAGAGGTCTTATTATGAAGAAGTTGTAAGAAAATGTAAAACTTTATTGGTGAGGAAAAGGCCATGAAAGTTGAGCTGAATGACTTTTCCCCATCACAACAATGGCCTATTCATTCTTAGAGGATAACAAAGACTGCCCTATGAAAATGTCATAGGCACTTACCTTATCCACCTTACAGCTCTGATCTTTCCCTTTCACATTGTTTTGTTCCTCAAACTCAAAAAACATTTCTAAGGAACATGAATTGAGACCCTTGGGGCTGCCAAACGTGTCATATTCATGGGGGGTAAATCGAGAGCACAGAATTTCTCAGGAAAGGTTAGTGATGGAAACACTGCCTTCAGAAGTATACAGACATAGACGGGAGGAGATGTCAAGAAACGATAGCTTCACATTTTGATACTGGTGTTGTAAGGTACTGTTGAGTCAGTTCTGACTCATATTGACCCGATGTACAACAGAATGAAACACTGCCCAGTCCTATGCCATCCTCACAATTGTTCTTATATTTGAGCTCATTGTTACATCCACTGTGTTAATAAATCTCATTGAGTGCCTTTCTCTTTTCCCCCCTCCTCTATTTAACTAAGCGTGATATTCTCCATGGACTTAGCTTCTGGCAACATGCCCAAAGTATGTGAGATGAAATCTCACCATCTTTGCCTCTAAGGAGCATTTTGGCTGTACCTCTTCCAAGATAGGCTTACTGGTTCTTTTGGAAGTCCATAGTACTTTCAAAATTCTTCACGAGCAAAATAATTCAAATGCATTGATTTTTCTTCATTCTTCCTTATCCAATGTCTAACTTTCACATGCATACGAGGCAACTGAAAATACCATGGCTTGGGTCAAAAACCCCTTTAGTTCTCAAAGTAATATCCTTCCTTTTCAGCACTTTAAAGAGGTCTTGTGTAGCATGTTTACCCAATGCAAGTGACATTTGATCTATTGACTGCTGCTTCCAGGACTGCTGGATCCTGATTGTGGATCCAAGCAAGATAAAATCCTTCAATCTTTTCTTCATTTACCATGATCTTATCGATTGGTTCAGTTGTGAACATTTTAGTTCTTTACATTGAGTTGTGATCCATACTGAAGGCTGCAATCTTTTATCTTCATCAGCAAGTGCTTCAAGTCCTCCTCACTTTCAGCAAGCAATGTGTGTCATCTGCATATTGCAGGTTGTTAATATGCCTTCCTCCAACAGTGATGCCACATTCTTCTTCATATAATCCAGCTCCTCTGATTATTTGCTTAGTATACAGATTGATAAAGTATGGTGAGAGAATACAACTCTGATGTACACCTCTCCTGATTTTAAACCATGCAGTGTTCTCATGTTCTGTTCACACAACTGTCGCATGATCCACGTACAGATTCAACACAAGCACTATGAAGTGTTCTGGAATTCCCGTTCTTCTCAAGGCTATCGATAATTTATCGAATGCCTTTGCATAGTCAATAATACACAAGTAAACATCTTTCTGGTATTTTCTGTTTCCAGACAAAATCCATCTGACATCAGCAACGGCATTCCTTGTTCCACACACTCCTTTGAGTCCAGCCTGAACTTGTGGTAGCGCCTCATCAATGTCCTGCTGCAATTGTTCTTGGATGATCTTCATCAAATTTTACTTGCATGTGATATTAACGATATTGTTCTGTAATTTGAGCATTCTTATGAGTCACTGTTTTTTAGGTGAATGGGTAAAAATATGGGTCTTGTCCAGTCAGGTGGCCAAGTAGCTGTCTTCCGAATTTCTTGGCATAGACCAGTGAGTGTTTCCAGTGCTTCATCAACTTGTGAAAACATTTCATTTGGTATTCCATCCATTCCTGGATCCTTATTTTTGACAAATGCTTTTAGCGTATCTTAGACATCTTCTTTCAGTACCATTAGTTCTTGTTAATAACCTGCCTCTTCAAATGGTTCAAGTTCCAATAGCTCTTTTTTGTATAGGGACTCTGTGTATTCCTTTCACCCTTTTTTGATGCTCCCTGCATCATTAATATTATGCTCATAGAATTTTTTAATATTGCAACTTGAGGCTCGAATTTTTTTCTTTAGTTCTTTTGGTTTAGGATATGCTAAGCATGTTCTTTTTAGGTTTTCTAACTCTGGGTCTTTGGACATTTCATTATTATATTTTACTCTGTCTTCTCAAGCTGCCTTTTGAAATGTTCTGTTCAGTTCTTTTACTTCATCATTTTTTCCATTTGCCTCAGCTACTCTATGATTATTATATTTTGCTATTTTTATTTAATAAAAGTTTCTATGATTTCATAGCAATACTCTTTGACTTATCCAAGTATTCCCAATACCTAGCATGGTACATGCACAGAGTAAGCAAACAGTAAATGAATACAATACAATGGGTTCATATACCGGGAGGGTGGAGGGAGGGGGGGACAGAAAGGGGGAACCGATTACAAGGATCTACATATACTCTCTTCCCTGGGAGATGGACTACAGAAAGGTGGTTGGGGGGGAGATGTCGGACAGTGTAAGATATGACAAAAGAATAATAATTTATAAAGTATCAAGGGTTCATGAGGGAGTGGGGAGCGGCGTGAGAGGAGGGAAAAATGAGGAGCTGATACCAAGGGCTCAAGCAGAAAGCAAATGTTTTGAGAATGATGATGGCAACAAATGTACAAATGTGCTTGACACAATGGATGTATGTATGGATTGTGATAAGAGTTATATGAGCCCCCAATAAAATGATTAAAGAAAAAAGAAAAACAAAGGAAATAAAACTTTCCTGACTTCTATGAATTTGATACAATTGGTGTTCTAAGGCCCTCCCTTTTTGTTCTTTCTAGGGTTAATTAGACCCAACATAACAATCAGTTGTACACCTTTAACTTTCTAGTATAAAACCCCCACTTGTATGTGTGCCTCCCACTACAGGGCAGATTTAAGCTGCAGTTAGTCGCAGCCATCTCAGAGCCCCTGGTATATATACGGTCCTAGTCCTCACTTCTCCCCTCCTTCTACCATATGCAGAATAGGACTTTGGGAATGTTTATGCACATTTTTCAACCCAAAGGGGGAGAACTGGATTCAGTGTCTTAAGAAGATCTCACCTGAGCTAAATCAAAGAGTGCCAACCACACAAAAAACAGAATTTCAATAGGAGGCTTAACACAGAAGCAAGCATAAATAATTTCACCTTGAAAAATACTTAAGTGAGAACAATACCTGAAAAATGTGTGGTGCTCCACACAGACTTTCCATAATTTCTTAGCCGCTCGGTAACTGGGAAGTTTGAATCCGATGGTACTTTCATATTGTTCTTGCTAAAAACAAAAACAAAACATGAAACATGAAGTACTATTCCAATTTCCTCACATAAACAACAATGACTATGTGATAGCAAGGATACTGATATTTACTGAGTGGCGAACATTGGTAATAATGATATAGGTAGCATCATCTCTGTTTCTACAGGTGAAGAAACTGAGATCAGGAGAGTTATTTACTCAGTCTCACAGCTACTAAGTGGCAGAAACAGAAATTCACTGTTACCACTAACCTACACTACTCTTAATTATTTTCTATACTAGTTTATAGTCATTAAACCATAAGGTCATTCCACTCCTTTCTTAAATAAGAACTTGGAATTTTTAGTATGTTATATAGTTGACAATTTTAAAAATCAAGGATTGCTTTGTTAGCTTATTTAATGATACCTATGTGCATTTATTTATTCATGGCCTCCCCATGTTCAAATGTAAGATTTTTTAAGGATGGGGCCTTTTAACTACTAATTTTTTAGCACCTAGAATAGAGCCTGGTGCCACAGGGAGAACCCTCAGTATTTGCTGACTGAATGTCTCTTGGATTCAAAACTTCTTGACAGAAGATAGTGATTACTCTGTGCTAGATACAGTTAAATAATTCTGGTAAAAATTAAATGTTCCAATGATAATCTCATTCCCAAAAAGTTGAGGCTGCATTCAGTATTTCCATGCTCAAACAAGAAACCATTTTTCACCAGCAGGTGGTGACATACACACAAAAAAGCCTCCTTACATGAGCAAGGTTCTTCCTGTTTGGTCTTTTGTGGATGTTTTATCTCACATCAACTACGAGACAGAAAATATTCCACTAACAGATAACTAAGCTGAGCTTTAGACTTCTCCAGCCTTTTGTTTAGTAAGAGGCAGAATAGGACATAGACCTTTTGGTTGTTTTAAACATTTTGATTCCTAAACATTTTCCCACTCTACCGTGACAGCTCTTTAATGACAGTCCTTAGCGCACATGCTAAATTTGGCCAACATTAGTATATACTGCCAACTGACCCCAGCCTAGTAAGTAACTTATTTATCTGGCCCAACCTTGAACATCCAACACTTTTAAATATTAGAACATGGCCCTAAAAATATCCTTAGTACCTATTAAGTGCTCTTCAAATAAATGGTATATGAGATAAGAGGGGTTGGTGACATAAAAATGAGTAATTTAACCCCACAAGCACATTTTAAACCTCATGCTAATCAATTTGAAAACATTTTTCTATAAAGTTTTTACCTGGAGTAAACAAGGGGGAAAAAAAGAACATCCCAAGTCTCACTTCTGGCCATGGTTTATTGACTTACTCACAAGAGGGACACATCTAGAAGACCAGCAGTAGGAAGAGCAGAAGCATCACAGGACTGATTAACTTAGAAAATAGAATTACCAGTCCCTGAATAGTTGGCTTTAGAAACCACTTAAATGACATAGCCGAGACAACTGGGAATGGAGTTTTAAATCTGGTCGGTGTTTGACTCAGAAGGAAGAAACAAGGATGCTGTACCTCTCCAGGTCGAATCTTGATGAAAAAGCTGCTCCGTTTGTATGAAATCTTCAGCACTTTGGGCCAGGGAAATCGGTTAATTCTCAGCTTATCTTTGTAAACCAGAAGGCCGCTAGAGCAAACACCCAGGATGATGTCCACTCCCTCTAGATCCTGAAAGAGAGAAAAAGCATTAACGCTTTAATCTTCAATAAAGTGTTCAACATATATTAGTTCAAATTAGTGATCTGGAAATAAGAACAAATCAATCATACATGGAAAGATTAAGTTTAACTAATCATACCACATAGGAAGTCTAGGTAAGAATTTTATTATTAAACATTAAAAAAACCAGTGTTATTATTACCTTTCACAAACTACTTTAAAAATGCCCAAATCTGATTCAGTAATTCTATTTGTTATTTATTTCCAGTAAACAACTTAAAATACCGATAAAGTTTTATATGTAAAAATATTCAGAGTATTATATTCAGAATGGGAAAAATGAACTATGATCCTATAAGCAACAGGGTTAAGTTATTAACTATTCATATAGTAAAATACAATAGGATTATGAAAATAGTTATAAAGAACTTAGGAAACATATGGAAAATAATTATGCTGCAATGTTATGTAAAATAAAACATTTAGGTATACAATTTGATCTTAATAATATAAAATGTAAACATACAAAGTGAATATGCCAAAGTAGTAACAATATTGTTTTTTGAGTAGAGGCAAAGATGGTGAGATTTGTCTCATATACTTTGGATATGTTATCAGAAGAGACCAGTCCCTGGAGAAGGACATTAGCTGTGATAAAGTAGAGGGGCAGTGATAAAAGGGGAACAAGATGGATTAACACAGTGACTGCAACAATGGGTTCAAGTATAAGAACCATTGTGAGGATGGCACAAGAGAGGGCAGTGTTGTATTCTATTACGCACAGGGTTGCTATGGGTCAGAACTGACTCAGTAGCACCTAATAGCAATTATTATGAAAAATTTTTCATTTTGGTTTTCTATATTTTCCAGTGTTAAGTATGTGTTCTCTTTAAAAAAATTTAAATATCACTAAATTAATACATGGATATAAAAACTAAAAAATAGAAAATATATAAATTAGAAAGTAAAATTCTATTCAGTCCTTACACTCGCTGTTATCATTAGCTGTCATACTATATATTAGTTGCCACTGACTCACAGCAACCTTAGGCACAAGAGAACAAAACATTACCTGGTCTTGTACCAGCCTCACAACTGTTCCTGTGTTTGAGCCCATTGTTGCAGCCTCTGTACTAATCTACTTCATTGAGGGTCTTCTCTTTCAGTCATCCTCTGCTTTACCAAGTGTCATGTCTTTCTCCAGGGGCTGATCTTTCCTGGTGACATGTCCAAAGTACATAAGATAGTCTCCCCAGCCCTGCTTCAAAGGAGTGTTCTGGCTGTATTAATTACTAATAATTGTGTGAAAATTTCCATTATTATCCTATTTTGAAGGCATATACAAATACAGTAATCTCCATATGGGGGTGTATGAGTGTGTCTTTTATAATTAGGAAAACATTAGAATCCGGTCTTTGAGGGGGAAACTATATCTTAATCATCTTTGTTGTTGCTAGGTGCCTTTGAATCGTTCTTACTTCATAGCAACCCTATGCACAGCACAAGGAAACACTGCCCAGTCCTGCACCTGATGAACAGCAGCCAACATCATCTCTACTATCATCTGAGAAACTGTTACTGTGCCCACACTCAATAAATGTTTACACTGACTTTGTTACCTGTCCACATTATTGTTCATAATTTATCATAAAAGTATCAGTGAATTCTTTACTTGTGATATAAATCAACCTTTATTCATATTTGTAGATAAACCAAGGAATTTTAAGTATTTTAGTAACAACATACATTAGACTTAAATTTTCAACCATCACTATTAATTATTTCATTCACTATCAGTGACTCTGAGATAATATCTGCTTTTCTCTTGTCCCTGAAACACACACACACACACACACACACACACACACACACACACACACACAATTCAGCTGCTGAAGGAATCAACACAATTCAGCTGCTGAAGGAGTCAACAGGAGCTGTATTTCCACCCTTACCACCCAAAGCATCTGAGAAATATCACTGGATTTACACCTCATCGACATTTACAACACTCTCCACAACTGAAAAACAAAGTTGAGGAATACAAGGGGGCTTCAAAAGTTTGTGGAAAATGGGATTAAAAGATTAATGGAATTTTTCCATGAACTTTCTGAAACCTCTTGTAGACTAAGCTTCAAGTCTCCTGGGAAGAACTCATAAAGCTATGCCCCTGCATCCTCCAGAGAGATTTCTTACAATATAAAGAGATACTAATTACTATGTCTGTCTACACATGAAATTCTAAGAAAAGCATTCATATTCTTATTTTGGTCTTCCAGTTCTAAAATATATTTACTTCAAACCTGTCACTCTCATAATCAGCAAACAGTTAACTGTATACTCAGTGCAGGATAAAAAATACTTCACTGCCCACTTATTATTGATCATGCCAGTCTATAATAGGGAGTATATCTCTTAATACACATATGTGTCTAAGCCAGCAGACCCCATGAGTTCCTGGAAGCCAGGGCCTAGGGCTATTGCAGAATCATTTAATGTGGCTCTTCTAGCCAAAATTTCTAATCACCACCAAGCAACCTTTCCCTGCATGAGTCTAGTAAAAAGGTTGGAAAAGATATTGACGGGATTCACCTGTGAGTTACTGCAAACAGGACACCCTGGAGTGGCATCCTGCTGTGTATAAAACGAGAAGCAGGAGGAGGGAATCTCAAAACTAAGAGTAGAGAGCATCTTCTGGACCCAAGACAGCTGAGCAGTGAACCCCCTGGATCCAGATGACACCCGTACCATCAGAGGAGCAGCAACAGAACCAGGAGTCACAGCATAGAACAGTGATAAACTTTCCAACCAACAGAGTAATTAAAACTTGAGTGCATTTTTGTGCAGAAAGAGGCTGGCTTGCTGAGTGAGTTGCCTCTAGGCACTTAATTGAGGAACCTGGGTTTGCTGACCCACAGAAGTAGAGCTGTGCCTTCTGGCTAAGGAGCAGGGTACCTCTGGGCACTTAATTCAGGGAGCTGTGTTTGCTGACCCACGGAGCTTGAGCTGAATGCCTTTAGATTGAGGCTTATAGTAGAGCAGTATGACACTTTGAGCATTAGTTAGCAAACCTGAAACTTTCTAACATGTCCTGGTAAACAATGACCCTGAGCATTTCTCCCTTGTTAACTTCCTTAATAAACTCTTTAATCATGAATATTGTCTGTGAGTTTCTGTGTAGTCATTGCAATGGCTATTAGAACCCAGAGAGGTAAAACAGTGAACACCTGGTCACCTCAGTAGGTAGTGAGCACCCTATCTCTGGAGATACTTCAGAATATTGAGTAGTAACCTGGCAACAAAAACCAAACTCACTGCCATCAGGTGACGCCAACTCCTAGTGACTCTATAGAGCAGGGTAGAACTGTCCCTGGAGTTTCTGAGACTGTAATTCTTTATGGAAGTAGAAAGCCCAATCTTTCTCCCATGGAGCTGCTGGCGGTGGTTTCAAACTGCTGACCTTGTGATTAGTAGCCCAACACGTAATTACTATGCTACCAGGGCTCCTTAGCTATGTATAGCACCAGTGGGTGAAGGGAGACGTCGGACAGGGCAAGATATGACAAAATAACAATTTATAAACTATCAAGGGCTCATGAGGGAGGGGGAAGCGGGGAGGGAGGGGAAAAATGAGGACCTAATGCCGGGGGCTTAAGTGGAGAGGAAATGTTTTGAGAATGATGAGGGTACAATGAATGATGAGGGCAATAAATGTACAAATGCGCTTTACACAATTGATGTGTATGGATTGTGATAAGAGTTGTATGAGCCCCTAATAAAATGATTGAAAAAAATAATAATTCTGGTGTATTTGTTTGTTTGTTTTAAGATACAGTGGTCTTCTTTTCCAAAATCATTGCTAGTAAGAAACCAAGGATGGTAAGTACAGGAGTTGGGATCCCCGAGTGGTGAGACAGCTGGGCTGCTAACCGAAAGGCTGTCAGTTTCAGATGGCCCCGAAGTGCCTGAGAAGAAAGCAGAACTTCCTTTCCCTGCTGGAAATTTACATTTTCACCCAAGACATTCAGGGGTTGAACTGGAATGAATTGGTTCAAACCTCTGGTTCAAAAACCTGGCACTGAAAGAACTATAGAGCACACGTCTACTCTGATACCCATAGTTAAGTAGATATGTTGTCTTTATTCTTACATAAATGTAGTATGAGAAAATCTCAGATTCTTATTATCATTGATGTTAGACATAAGAAATTATTTTTGCTATCCCCTAAGCCAAGAAAGTAAAATAAGAACTATCTTTATATGTCTCTTGATTAATATCTTTAAAAATTAAATATGATAGTTATCATCCACTGTTTTCAGTGGTTAATTCCTCCAAAGTGGATAGCCTACTCCTTCTTCTTCATAGCCTCCCTGTGAACTGCTCACTTTTAGTGACCCTGCTGGTATCCAGAAAACCAGTGACAGCTTCCAGCATCATAGCAACACTTAAGCCACCACCACAGTAGGACAAACTGACAGACAAGTGGTGCAATACTGAGTTCAAACATAAGAACAATTGTGAAGTTGGAGCAAGGCTGGGCACAGTGTTTTTTTCTGTTGTACACAGGGTCGCTATGAGTCAAAACCAATTCTATGGCACCTAACAACAACTATGTCTACAGTTCAAGGAACGCACATTTTACCTCAGCTAATCTATACAGCTAAGCAATTGTTTAAATAATCAAAACCCAGAGCTAAATACTTTTTTAATTAGCACTTTCCTAAGACAAATGTAGTGACACATACGTAGTAGTGGCTCAAGTGTTATGTGCATGCACAAGAGAAGCAGGAACCATACAGAGCTACAATAACTGGGTAAGGAGGATTTCCTAGAAGCCTTTTTAGGGTTTTAAGGCCTATGGACACAACAATTTCTCTCTCTTAATGGTATATTTTGGAGAAACAAATCGCATTTCAACATTTGGGAAAAGAAATGCTGCCTGCACTGGAGATCCCCTTGCAGAGGGGTCTCGGGGAGGAGATGAGCCAGTCAGGGTGCGATGTA